AACGCAACTTTCCACTACACTTTAGCAATTCCACCCCTAAGTTATGACAGACAGTAACCAGCACAGATATCACTTAAAAAATGTGAAAATGTACCACTTGCATTATGTACACTAAGTGTCATCTACCGAATATCCACAATAACCAAATATTTCTTTAAATGAAAAAAAAAACAGGATCAGGGTGATTCAATAAAATGATGAAAGACACATATCAAATAAGTCTAAGTTGAAATACCTAAACACTAACCTATACTAAACACTAACCCAACACTAACCTATACCATCCCATCATGATACAGTCTCTCATGAACAGTGACTCTGTTACAGCCAGGAAACCGAAGGAACCAAGCCGCATTTGAGACTGTGGAAAGGCACATTTATTCATGCCTGTGGACTTGACAAGATGTGCATGCCAAGAGACAAGCACCAACTCTTGGTCTGTTTGTATTTTCATACCTCAAATCTGTAAGTCAATCTTGCAAGGCTGTTTCAGGAGGCACAGATGTATAATGACAAGTAGCTGGTGGCAGAGGAGCTGTGGTCCCTGAAGCCAGGCAGGGCCTTTCCAGACTAAGCTGGTCACCCCAGCTAAGAGGACATCTTTTGAGATTTGGGGCATGTAACATTTCCTCTCATTTCTCTGGGCCTCTTTCAAATTGTTTAGTTTGTATTTTTAAGTGATAAATATATATAGGAATAGGGGAAAGCAGAATTATAGAGAGAAGGAGAGACAAAGAGCTTCCCTTGGCTGGCTCACTCCACAATTGGTCACAAAGGCCAGAACTGAGCTGATCTGAAACCAGGATCCAGGAGATTATTCCTAGTCTCCCATGTGGATGCAGGGTTTCAATACATTGGGTCTTCACTGACTCCTTTCCCAATGCACAATAGGGAGCTGGATGGAAAGTGGAGCTCCTGGGACAGCAACTGGTGCCCATATGGGATCCTGGCATTTACAAAGCAAAGATTGAGCCATTGAGCCATTGTGACAGCCCTAAAGTTTGTCTTATTGGAGCCAGTACTAAATATAAAAGTCACTGGAAATTGATCTTGGGACATCTGTCAGTTGACAAAGCAGGCAATGGCACTGAATGAGTAGGTGCCAACTACAGCTACTAAAAGGAGAACCAACCTGGTGAATGGCTTAGTGGCTAAACCCTGGTTACAATGCACTAGGGTCCCATATGGGCACTGGTCGTGTCCAGCTGTTCCACTGTCAATATAGCTCTCTACCTGTGGCTTGGAAGGGCAGTGAAGGATGGATGGCGCAAGGTCTATGGGAGATCTGGGGGAGTCTCCCGATCAGCTCTGGGCATTGAGGCCACTTGGGGGTAAGCTAGTACATGGAGGATCTTTGTTCTGTCTGTAAATCTGCCTTTCTAATAAAAAAGAAATGTTTTTGTAAAAGGAAAACAGGGGTCCAATAAAGAGTCATACCCAGGGGAATCAATCTATCAGGGACCCCCACCATGTGGACTGTGACAGAAACTTACATCATCTATTGTTTTTATCTTGAAGTTGTGAGGTCTCTCAAACCAACCCTGATTCGTGAGCACTGAGGCAGCATACATCATGGAGGAATATGCAAAGGCCTCCCTGGGGAACATTCCAACCAAGGCCTTGTGTTTGGGAATGATCAGTGGCCAAGGTATCTAGCTGCTGTTAGGTTAGAGACCTCAGTCAGATATGTCAGGATGTTAGCGATGTGTTGAGAACTCAGTACTGAGTGTGGGACTGTCCTACGCTCATGGTGTCAGAATGGCCCTGGTACCAGCCAGAAGACCAGTAACCAGGGGATTAGGAAATAGAGCGCTCAGTTAGACAAGCAGGGGCCCAAGACCCTGTTATCAGTGTGTAGACTATCTGAATAAATAAATGAGTTCTCTGGCACAAAGCAGAAGGCATTGTGTCAGCAGGTCTTGGTAGTATGATTGGGGCCAGGACTGTGAGACCTGGACAGAATAGGAGAAATCTCCACAGATGGGGGCTGGGACCATTAGGAACTCTCAGCAGATGTCTGTCCCAAGAATAGGGCTATGCAGGAATCCATAGTGGATCCAGAATATAGCAAGGGTCGTGAAAATCCATCAATCTGATCAGTCTGTGTTGGCACTGAGTACATACCTATCAAAACTGAGTTTGATGGTAAGCTGAACCTGATGGCAATAGGGCTCATGAGACTGTTGGGGAGTGCTCAAAAACACGCGTCTGGGAGAGTAACCTGATCAAGCACCGAGAGCTTAGCATGACTCAATTACAAGAGACAAAAGACTCCTTCTAGTAGCCCCACTATTCTTATCTGAAACACAGCCATAGCAACTTTCAGTAGCCAGCTCCAGTCTGCCGGGGCAACCTCACCTACATTGGCATGTAGCAGCAAGATCAATATTGCCCTTAGTCCCAATTCAATAGGGTGGCATGGTGCCCCTAGTTCCCAGATGTTGCTGGTAGTATTGAGAAGAGGCTGTGGACAGTGCTCAGGGCTCTAGGCGTGCTGGCCAGGTGTGTCTGGACAACAGCAGCAAAGACAGTGTGTAGAGGATATTCCCAATTTTCCTGAAAGAAAGCTAAGTAAGATATTTTGCCAACACATTTTGGGATCTGCTGGTTGTTATCACAAAGCTCACACAGAGCGTTGCAGTGGTGAAGTGGCCTGGACATTGGTTAGAGCTTAAAGGGCCAGAATGCATTTCAGGACCTGAAGCGCTCTGGACTGGGGGTGCTTGGCAGGGATGGATGCCCAAGAGCTGCATCTGCCAATGACTTCCATCAACTGTCCCGAGGCCCTAGGCAAAGGTGGATCCTTCTGCTTAATGCAAGCAAAATAAGACCCAGGAGAAAAGGGCACAGCTTCTACTTCCCAACTCCCTGGAGAGAGGAGATGGGCTACCTCTGAGGGTCCCTGGGGGTCTCAAGATGAGGCTGCATGGGGCATCAAGGAACTTGCGGCCATTCAGGGCAGCTCCATAGCCTGTTCTTTGTAACAGCTGTCTACATTCTTTCTATTTCTCCTAGTCTGAGCACATTCATTTGTTCATTCCAGATCACACTGCCTTCTCCCAAAGTTCCTTTCTCATGTGGATCCAGTGACAGGTGTTCCTTGGTCTTCTTTGTTCCCTCATGGTTTCTTCTCCTGTTTTATTGCTGAAACCTCTGTGGACATGACTTAGGCTCAGTTATGGCTGTCACTTGTGCAGTATCAAGTTCCTGACCCCACAGCTTTGGTTGCCTGAAGCAGAAAACCATGGTGTGCCTTTTCTTATAGTGCCTTCACTGGTAGAAACCAAAATGCATCGGCAAGGAAGTCCATGAGATGTCACTTGTGGGACTCTAGTTCTCATCTCCATTCTAAAACAGAGCAAACCTTAGGGCAAGGCTAGGCAACAGGGAATTATAGATAACCAATGCCTGCTAGTGTTGTCTGACCATTGGCACCATTGGTGGTAATACAGAAACATATCTCAGAGGTTTGTGGGGATTGCCTGAATGAATAAACCTAGTGATTATCGCATGTCTGAATTTGGGGCCTCTGGCACACTTGACCTGAGCACAAGGACTTCCTTCAGTGTGTATTCTACAGCCCCCCAACACTTTCACCTAGAGGGGATTGGATAGCATCTTAGAGTAGCACAGAAGGGTCTGTTGATTGTTGTGTCTCAAACATTCCTGTCCCATAGACTATCCTACTATTTCACCCATTTCCTTCCTACCTACACTTGTCCAGGCACAGGTGGCCATTATTCTCTCTGCAAGTGTCTAGTCTAGGTTGAAATCTCCTAAACATCTTCTCTTTAAGGCAGCAGTTCCAGTTGGAGACAATCTGACTGCAGTCGTCTAGAATGGTAATCTCTCATGTTCAGCCATTCTCCTTGGGACATGAACTCTGCCTGCCCCTAACATAGGTGACGCCCAGGGGAGGTCTTCAGTTCCACGTTGATGCCCCTCTTCACCTCCTAGGCATGCACGGGAACATTCTATCCTTTGGGGTATCCCTGGATGTCTGGACCAAGGGTAATGTAAAACCATCATAGCTTTAATCTGGCACATTGTCAGGGCAGCCCCGTGGACATCGTACCATCCCACCAGTGTGATTTTGCTATGCATGCATTCTTAGCACGGCTGTAAATGCAGAGACCATCCCACCAACAGGCATTTACTGCACAGTTGGCATTCCTCTATACTAAACACAGATGTGAACAGAACTGTCAAATCCAGAGCTCAGACATCAGGTGGAAAGACAGACCAGTCAGTGGACAGAACATTATCTCCCCCTCTAGTTTCAAATACACAAAAATCAAAGAGTCTTTATTCCACTGCAAAGTTTCTAATTTTACAATATCTAAGATAATCCTGCAAAAACATCTTTGCTGTTTATTTATACTCATGATTTGCAGCTTCAAGAGCTTTTTGTGAAGCCGTTATATGAATATAGGTATAAAGTGAGACTAGAGCACCGATTCCACATGCCGCCTCAAAGGGAGGGGTGTGATGTCAGTCCCCATCAGTCTGCTGATCTGTAGTCTGAAGCAGCGTGTTAAGGAGCAGAACATGAGTTGAAAGGAATGACAGAGAAGACAGCGCCGTGTAAGGACCGTGTCCTATGTAGAGGAGGCAGCTACCAGGGCTACTGTTTATGACCTACATACCAGAGGGATTCCTGTCACGGGGACAAGTTCAAAATGGCTACTTGAATGTGAGCACCAGTTCTTGGTCAAGGGACCCAGGGTCTCTGGCCAAGAGGGTTCTAGAGATGCTGTGTGTAGCACACAGGGAATGCCACAGCTGCCCATGGAGGCAGTGATGATCCCTGTGTGGGTGGCAGGACAGGTGTGTTCAAAGCAAAGGGGAGTGAGCCAAGGTGAGGCGACTCTCATGTTTCCAGACTTTGACCCTGGGGTACAATAGAGTCATGGCCTTTCTTGTTTGAGTGTCTCAGGGCATAGAACCAAACCTGTCTACAGGTTTCAGAAGAAAACCCGAATCCCAGGTTCTTGTGTTAATCATCTATGCATTTTTGACAATAAACAACATAGACAACAAAATAGATAATCGATATAGTTGATGAAACATAGCCAATTTATTAAGTTATCCAGACTTTTTCCACTAGAACCACATACTGTTCTGGGGACCTGAGAGGGAAAGAGAGAGAAATCCAATGAGAATCTTGGTCAGGTCCTGCTGACAGCTGAGTCTGAAGGGACTGCCGGTAGTGGCAGAGGCTAGAGCCAATGTGAGCTCCTTCAGACTGCCGTCTGAGTTACTAAGAGGAAACAGACGCTACTGAAGAATTCTAAGTCAGGCATCCTGCAAACACTCTCACTGAAGAGTCCATCCATGATACGGATAGATCTTTGTATGATGTTGTATCATATTTTATGAGATGCAGATACATATTTGCAGGACAACTAAGAGGGAAATTACGTGTTCAACGACAAATATTTGAAAGGAAACCCAAGATCTAGGGGCAGATCTGGTCCCACATCCCAAGTTCTCATCCATATCTCCACATAAGAGCAATGTGACTTTCAATGTGACCCTGAGAGGACATGAGGGAGGAAGTCTTGTTCATTGATAGCACCACAACAATAAATACACGCATCACTCGTTCCAGTATGCCAGACCGTTCCTACCTTCATAGATGATCGTTAGCACTTTAAATAAAATTCTGGTGGATGATAAGAGCCACCCTCTGCTACCACATGTCTGACTGGGTGGTTCCTCAATAGAAGCACCCTGAGGGTGGAGGCTGCTACATGATGGCTCCTTCTGAAGTGAAGACTTCGAAAGCTGGTAGGAAGTTACACTTCCACTAAAGGACGGACAATGGTTCTTCACGACAAAACCTGGAAAGAGGAAAACATCCCTCAGAAGACTCACAAGTACCAATACCATGAGCAGGGTCTGAGGGGCACCCAGGGAAGCAGTGGCACTCTAGGGAGCTACCATGGCAAACCTACACTATCCCCAATACACAGAGATGCTTCTACTGGCTCTACCTGGAGAAATGGGAGAATTCATAAAGGAGAGGCATGGATATCGTGGGCCAATGGCTATTGGAATCTGCCTGAAAGATCAAGAGAAGATAAGTGAACTAGTCAGGAAATACTCACTTCCAAGAAGCACATCAGAAAAGAAATATTGATGTGTGTTAAAGACCCTGGGCCACGCAGACAGGGGATCAATATCCTGGTAGTAAGCTTCCGTGAGCATGAGCCAGTGAGGCCCCCTCACAAAGATGTCACAGGAGGGGATAGCAGATTTCTTCAAGGCAGTCTTCTGGGATGTTCTGTGGAGGGACAAAGGGAAGGAACGTTACTAAGGACGGATGCAAGGTCTCCCTAGCATTAACAGCGCACAGGAGAACAACAAAACAAAACAAAACAAAACCAGCACACCAGAGAAGAGCCCCTTGATCTCTCTACAGTGCCCCGGGGTCCAGACCAGGCCCTGTCAGGTTGAAGTAGAGGAAACAAGGTTGGCGGCTGAGACAGGACTCAGCCTCTTGTTATGGAGACAACACAGAATCTGTGAGGTCAGAAATGCTACAGGAGGGGACATGCATCCTGGGCCACCAGGGGCAATGGTCCAAGGAGGAGGGCTGAGACATGGAGGGCACTATGCCAGGCTAGAGAGCAGGGGATTCTGAGAGATGTGGGTGACCTGGGATAGGCTGTGGAATAGCCTAGACCTCAGCTGGGAAAAGGGACCTCCTGGGCCCATGGTGGATGACAATAATACCCACATCACACCCTAACCCAATACACCAATCTCAACGTGAACATCCCTGCCTTTGGTGAGCCCTAACTATACAGAAGTGCACATCTAGATGGCAGCCACAGACACCCTTGCACACTTACCCGTGTTGGACACCACTACAATCTCCAGACACGTCCCCCTCCTCCGCAACCACCTCCTCATCAGGCAGTGCTTCGCTCGAGGTGTCACCTTCCTGTTCTGCCTCCTTGTCTGCCTTAGGACTGCAGGGTTCAGATGCTGCAAAAAGCACACATGCGGCAAGGTCAGGACAAGAAGAAAAATGGAAACAAAGGTCTCACCATTTGTTTTGCACCCTCTGGCCTAGATCTGGCCTGGTATGTGACTGTCAAGAGAGCCTTCTTCCATGACCAGACTCACGTCTCTGCCAACCATCAGAGGGCCCCCTATTGGGCATTGCATAAGCAGACTCCCATGTCAAATAGACTGGGCACTCAGGGCCAAACTAGGACCCAGGAGGATAGCTGGCTGATCCAACAGGGTAGCCCTCGATTGACCAGCTGGCCAAACAGGGCTCCTGGACTCGGGCAGGAGGCCTTGGTGGGGTAAAAACCATGCACCATGGAAGACCTACCTGCAATGGTTGGCCACGAGGCTCCTGCCAACCTGGGGAACATTCCATCCCTACCTGGAGACCCAAGCTCCTTGTACACCAGGTGCCACAAGCCTCTGCATGTGGGTATCTGCTGCTCAGTCCCACAGACCTAATGCCCAGGGCCCAGATGGGTGGCAAGTCACCTTTCCTCTGCCATGGACTCCCTTCATCTTCCCACCTGTCAGGGTTCCCTCTTGTAGAGGAAAACATGACATAATAATACCTGGGCCAAACATCCAGTACTCAACGCAATTTACTCTGTGTACCCCTATCGCCATGCTGCTAAGACTAGGAGGGAAGGGGCATGGGCAGAATCCCAGCTACCAGCATTGGGACTGTAGGTCTAGGCATACCCAAGGTTCAAGTCAGGTTGCAGGGCTAAGGATGAAGCAGCAGCATCACTGACCCAACAAGGGTGAACAGACAAGGTGCGATGTGGGTCCAGGATAAGGGGCCAGGTCTGTGTGAGATGGCCACAGATGGGGGTAACAGCTGTCACTCTGTACAACCCTAAATGCCACGGGCCAACTGGGGTGTCCCTGGGTTGGCCAATGTAGCCACTTTGGATGCTGAGACGCACCCAGTGCAGGCAGCAGCAGCAAGGCACCAGTGTTGGTTCTGCTGCCAGGATCATTCATGGAAAGCTCAGAGTTTCCCAGGGGAAGACTCACCTTCAATGGCACAGGCCCAGCGCTGGGGCCTCTCATGGTACAGGCAAGAATCCTGGCCAGGAGCCCAGGGAATTCCCAAAGTGAAGTCCACAGGGCCTGCCAGCACGGCACAATAATACACTGCTTGTTCTGTGTCGAATGGCCAGATTGCAGCCTCAGTGAGGAACTGTGAGCTCTGTAGGCTGTGGACAGATTGAAAAAGAGTTACTGAGGATGACAGTATTTTGTGGTTGGATCCCCAGGATTCCCTGTATATCAAACCATGACCATGGACTTACAGAGCATGCTCAAAGGGTCCAAACCCAGCCCACCAGCTGGAAACCATCTGACCCACTACCGGCTTCACACAGAAGGAACATAGGAAGGTTTGTAGGCATTATGGAGATGAGGTGACCTAGGACTAGGTGGTTAGCTATGAGGCAACTCAAAGGCCAGGGTCTGCTGCAATGTCCGAAGTACCAAGGTCCTGGGCACACACGGGGCTGAACAGGTTCCAAGTCCTGATTACCAGTCAAGCCAACAGCTTTACACTGCAGCCAGCCCAAGGTCTGGCCAGAGAACTCAGACACATCAATGAGCAACTCAACTACCCGTCCCCCCTTGGCCTCACCACTACCACTCCCTGGTTGCTGACTACACTCAGTCTACATCAAAAAGGGTCACTGAAGAGGATCAGCCCGGGGTGAAGACAGGGCTCAGACAATTTTTGTGCAGCCAACACAGGATCCATGACAGAAATGTTCCAGGTGGGGGAACATGTCCAGGCCACAAAGGACATGAGTCCCAAGAAGGGGAAGACGTAGAGGTATCGGGGCTCACATTCTATGCAGACTAAAGAGCCAGCAGTTCGCAGACATGTGGGAAAGGGCTGGGAAAGGACCCTGGGATGGACTAGAGTTCACTCTGGGAAGGGCACATGGGGGAGCACAGCACTCACACCATAAAATAACACACACATCCGATCACCTCTGAACCTTGCATTCACAGATGTGCACAGCGGAGGAGCAGCCACAGCGGCCCAGGCACACTTACCTGCGCTGGGTGCTCACCAGGTGTGCAGATACAACTCCATTCTCTAGACACACACCTTCTTGCCTAAGTTCGCTGCTCAAGGTATCAAGGACTAGAAAAGAAGGCACACAATGAAAGGTCAAAGCCAAGATGTAACAAGGAAAAAAAGATCCCATCTGTCATTCATCATCCCCTGATATATTTGTGACTTTGGCTGGTGACAGTCAAACCCACAACTGGACAATCCCTGCACCATGACTAATCTCATGAACTCTGCTAGTCTTCAGATTCCAAAGTCGTCATACTGGGTTTATGGTAACATTCAGGTGTACCAAAACATACCCCCAACACTCAAAGGCTGGTCAGTTGCCTGGTGTTGGCGACAAATGAAGGAAAAAATACACCACTTATCCGAGGTACAAGCTGATCCACAAAACCTCTCAAGGGGGCTTAGAGGTTCAGCTATCAGGCCTTGGAATGCAGAGAAAAACTTACAATCACAGTCGGGTTTGTGGCCAGGCATTGCAACGGAGAGAGGTGAAGGCAGGGCACAAGGGGGACACGACTGCCAGGGTGGGTGAGCAAGGAAAGCACAAGATATCTAGCTTGGCTCTAGGGGTTTTGGGTTAACCACGAGCCTGGGCAATAACAGCAAAACAGGGTGGCTGTAAATTATGAAATTGCACAAACAAAGCAGTGAGAGAAAACTAAAGAACAAACAAAATCATGACCCAACTGAATTTAGCAGCAGGGCAGACATTCAGAGAGGCTGATATGGGTAGACAGCAATGCCACACCGTGAAATGCCAAGGCGGTGGGAACAGCACAAAACAGACATACTCAGTAGAGCAGCAGCAGGATGTGAAAAACACAGTCAATTACATTGTGAAAAACAGAGAAATCAAGAAACAGAGGAAAAGAAGAGAAAGATGCCGAATATAGTTACACTCATTCAAAAAAGACACAATACAACAAGAAATATAGAAATCCAAGTGCGAAGAGGAGGGAACAGAGGGAAAACTGACACATAGAGAGCAGAGAAACGGTAAAACTTGAGGATGAGAATCTGAAAGGAATTCAGTTAAAACGACTCACCAACACATGTATATGAACAGCAAAACGGTGTCTTGTCACTGGTGTTTGCGCGAGGGATGACACCTATGCTGGCTGCCCACTGGTACAATGTCCAGTGGGCCAGGTCTCCTGGGCCACGATACAGGTAGCATATTGCGGGAGGGTCGTAGGGAGTAGAGCCCAACCTGAGGAGAGAGGAAAGAAGGAAGACAGCTGAGCGCTGCTGAACTCAGCACTATGGCTGGTGGCCAGGGTGCCCGAGGTGCCCAGGAACCACCACCGCCAGCACTCAGCCTCCCTCTTGGGCACAAGGGCCTGGCCTCCCAAGGAAAAGCAGCGTGGCAGTGGCAAACCATGCCATTCGGGGCCTGAGACAGCCATCACGGGACACCACTGCTCCTACAGGTGCAAGCTGGCAGAAGGAGCCTGAGACCTCTGCTGGCTGTGGTCCAGCTGGGTGGGGGGTGTTTGTGCTGCGTGGTCCAGGCCAAGAGGTGGGCTCCGAAGCACAGCATCCCACGTCACCCCCAAGCCCCAAGTCCCTGGCTCCCTCACGCTTGGGCACACACCTCATCGAGCCAAAAGCAAGCCCAAGGAGCCTGGGTAATGCCAACGGTCCCGCTTCTGCACACTTGGGACATGCCCAGGCGCCCAACACTGGCAACACCCAGGAACAAACATGCTAGATGCTAGGGTATCCTGCGGCCACCTTGCCCTCTGCTCTGTGCATGGGACACATGCCGGCCACACCAGCTACTCGCGTAATGACATCCTTCACCCACACTTCCCCGGGCACTAACATACACACTGCTACGGGCTTCACCGCCTACTTGCACACAACACATGCATGGAGATGTGACAGCAAGGACGCCCCACAAGGGGTCCCGATCCCCGGGTCCTGTGGGACACAGGCAAGACAGGGAAGGCCCCAGGGCTCTTCAAGACCATGGCTGACGGCCACGGACGGGGCTCTCGGGGAGGCAGCCCGCCAAGGGCTCTGGAGACCAGCGGTGCCCCATGACACCACAGGTGCCGTGCACGTCTACAATGGGGCCTTCCTGGCACACGGCCAGCCTTTCACAGCCCACTCCCACAGCCCTTCCCAGGCAGCACAGACACACCCCACGTTCAACACAGCCTTGGCCAGCCATGTTCCATGGCCACTGCCACGAACACACTCTTACCCCGGGTCCACCTCGGTCCAGCCTGTGGCAGCTGCTGGAACTTTGTCATCATTGGGGGTTGGTGGGCCCTCAGAGAGGGCGGTGTTGTCCACTGCAAAGGAGGGGCAGGGGAACTCCCGTGAGACCAAAGCACGCGAGGGTCCCCAGCGTGTCACCGTCAGCACCCTGTGGAGGGCCGTGGCCTCAGCTCACGCTCACCACCTGGGTGGGCAGCAGGCCTGCACGCTGTCCGACCTGGCACGCATGGTCTCTGCCAGCCCAATGTGCTTTCCCCTCCCTCCCTCCAGCTCTCCCTCTCTGCATGGGGAGCCGGGTGCTGCCCACACCAGGAATCCGCAGCCTCGGCAAGCAGCCCTCTGCCCTTGGGGAGCACATGTGCACCGCCCCTGGGGCCTGAGGCACACTGGGAGCTTAGGTTTCCTAACCTATGGGAGGACCCTTCCACCTCCATGCAGCCAGGGCTTCAGGCAAACGCTGGCCCCAGTACTCAAGGTTGCAACCCAGCCCTGGAGCGCCCATGCAAGCACCACTGTGTCCAGCCATCCTTCGCAACGACACACACCCTGGACCTCAGGGTAAAGGGCTGGCTGTGCGACAAAGAGGGGAGCATGGGTACGACTCCCAGACAGCAGCAGCATCACACAGGTCTGCCTGGGATCACAGCAACTTCACACGTGTTCCGGGGCTTGGGCAACAGCGCCAGGAGAGGAGTGCCAACAGCACTGAGGGCCAGCTCCCCCTGTGGCAGTTGCATCACATGACTCACCCTCGACGGCCTCTGCCCAGTGAAACGGCTGGGCATCCTCACTGGTGTTCGGGCTGGAGATGATGCCCGCGCTGGCTGCCCACTGGTACACGGCCCAGGGGGAGGACAGGTCTCCTGGGCGGTCATACATGTAGCATATTCCAGGCAGTTCGTGGGGGGCCGAGCCCAGCCTGAGCAGAGAGGCCAGAAGGAAGACAGCTGAGCGCTGCTGAATTCAGCGCTATCACTGAGGGCCCAGGGAGCACAGGAACCACCACCGCCAGCACTCAGCCTCCCTCTTGGGCACAAGGGCCTGGCCTCCCAAGGAAAAGCAGCGTGGCAGTGGCAAACCATGCCATTCGGGGCCTGAGACAGCCATCATGGGACACCACTGCTCCTACAGGTGCAAGCTGGCAGAAGGAGCCTGAGACCTCTGCTGGCTGTGGTCCAGCTGGGTGGGGGGTGTTTGTGCTGCGTGGTCCAGGCCAAGAGGTGGGCTCCGAAGCACAGCATCCCACGTCACCCCCAAGCCCCAAGTCCCTGGCTCCCTCACGCTTGGGCACACACCTCATCGAGCCAAAAGCAAGCCCAAGGAGCCTGGGTAATGCCAACGGTCCCGCTTCTGCACACTCGGGACATGCCCAGGCGCCCAACACCGGCAACACCCAGGAACAGACATGCTAGGGATTCCTGCGGCCACCTTGCCCTCTGCTCTGTGCATGGGACACATGCCGGCCACACCAGCTACTCGCGTAATGACATCCTTCACCCACACTTCCCCGGGCACTAACATACACACTGCTACGGGCTTCACCGCCTACTTGCACACAACACATGCATGGAGATGTGACAGCAAGGACGCCCCACAAGGGGTCCCGATCCCCGGGTCCTGTGGGACACAGGCAAGACAGGGAAGGCCCCAGGGCTCTTCAAGACCATGGCTGACGGCCACGGACGGGGCTCTCGGGGAGGCAGCCCGCCAAGGGCTCTGGAGACCAGCGGTGCCCCATGACACCACAGGTGCCGTGCACGTCTACAATGGGGCCTTCCTGGCACACGGCCAGCCTTTCACAGCCCACTCCCACAGCCCTTCCCAGGCAGCACAGACACACCCCACGTTCAACACAGCCTTGGCCAGCCATGTTCCATGGCCACTGCCACGAACACACTCTTACCCAGGTCCACCTCGGTCCAGCCTGTGGCAGCTGCTGGAACTTTGTCATCATTGGGGGTTGGTGGGCCCTCAGAGAGGGCGGTGTTGTCCACTGCAAAGGAGGGGCAGGGGAACTCCCGTGAGACCAAAGCACGCGAGGGTCCCCAGCGTGTCACCGTCAGCACCCTGTGGAGGGCCGTGGCCTCAGCTCACGCTCACCACCTGGGTGGGCAGCAGGCCTGCACGCTGTCCGACCTGGCACGCATGGTCTCTGCCAGCCCAATGTGCTTTCCCCTCCCTCCCTCCAGCTCTCCCTCTCTGCATGGGGAGCCGGGTGCTGCCCACACCAGGAATCCGCAGCCTCGGCAAGCAGCCCTCTGCCCTTGGGGAGCACATGTGCACCGCCCCTGGGGCCTGAGGCACACTGGGAGCTTAGGTTTCCTAACCTATGGGAGGACCCTTCCACCTCCATGCAGCCAGGGCTTCAGGCAAACGCTGGCCCCAGTACTCAAGGTTGCAACCCAGCCCTGGAGCGCCCATGCAAGCACCACTGTGTCCAGCCATCCTTCGCAACGACACACACCCTGGACCTCAGGGTAAAGGGCTGGCTGTGCGACAAAGAGGGGAGCATGGGTACGACTCCCAGACAGCAGCAGCATCACACAGGTCTGCCTGGGATCACAGCAACTTCACACGTGTTCCGGGGCTTGGGCAACAGCGCCAGGAGAGGAGTGCCAACAGCACTGAGGGCCAGCTCCCCCTGTGGCAGTTGCATCACATGACTCACCCTCGACGGCCTCTGCCCAGTGAAACGGCTGGGCATCCTCACTGGTGTTCGGGCTGGAGATGATGCCCGCGCTGGCTGCCCACTGGTACACGGCCCAGGGGGAGGACAGGTCTCCTGGGCGGTCATACATGTAGCATATTCCAGGCAGTTCGTGGGGGGCCGAGCCCAGCCTGAGCAGAGAGGCCAGAAGGAAGACAGCTGAGCGCTGCTGAATTCAGCGCTATCACTGAGGGCCCAGGGAGCACAGGAACCACCACCGCCAGCACTCAGCCTCCCTCTTGGGCACAAGGGCCTGGCCTCCCAAGGAAAAGCAGCGTGGCAGTGGCAAACCATGCCATTCGGGGCCTGAGACAGCCATCATGGGACACCACTGCTCCTACAGGTGCAAGCTGGCAGAAGGAGCCTGAGACCTCTGCTGGCTGTGGTCCAGCTGGGTGGGGGGTGTTTGTGCTGCGTGGTCCAGGCCAAGAGGTGGGCTCCGAAGCACAGCATCCCACGTCACCCCCAAGCCCCAAGTCCCTGGCTCCCTCACGCTTGGGCACACACCTCATCGAGCCAAAAGCAAGCCCAAGGAGCCTGGGTAATGCCAACGGTCCCGCTTCTGCACACTCGGGACATGCCCAGGCGCCCAACACCGGCAACACCCAGGAACAGACATGCTAGGGATTCCTGCGGCCACCTTGCCCTCTGCTCTGTGCATGGGACACATGCCGGCCACACCAGCTACTCGCGTAATGACATCCTTCACCCACACTTCCCCGGGCACTAACATACACACTGCTACGGGCTTCACCGCCTACTTGCACACAACACATGCATGGAGATGTGACAGCAAGGACGCCCCACAAGGGGTCCCGATCCCCGGGTCCTGTGGGACACAGGCAAGACAGGGAAGGCCCCAGGGCTCTTCAAGACCATGGCTGACGGCCACGGACGGGGCTCTCGGGGAGGCAGCCCGCCAAGGGCTCTGGAGACCAGCGGTGCCCCATGACACCACAGGTGCCGTGCACGTCTACAATGGGGCCTTCCTGGCACACGGCCAGCCTTTCACAGCCCACTCCCACAGCCCTTCCCAGGCAGCACAGACACACCCCACGTTCAACACAGCCTTGGCCAGCCATGTTCCATGGCCACTGCCACGAACACACTCTTACCCCGGGTCCACCTCGGTCCAGCCTGTGGCAGCTGCTGGAACTTTGTCATCATTGGGGGTTGGTGGGCCCTCAGAGAGGGCGGTGTTGTCCACTGCAAAGGAGGGGCAGGGGAACTCCCGTGAGACCAAAGCACGCGAGGGTCCCCAGCGTGTCACCGTCAGCACCCTGTGGAGGGCCGTGGCCTCAGCTCACGCTCACCACCTGGGTGGGCAGCAGGCCTGCACGCTGTCCGACCTGGCACGCATGGTCTCTGCCAGCCCAATGTGCTTTCCCCTCCCTCCCTCCAGCTCTCCCTCTCTGCATGGGGAGCCGGGTGCTGCCCACACCAGGAATCCGCAGCCTCGGCAAGCAGCCCTCTGCCCTTGGGGAGCACATGTGCACCGCCCCTGGGGCCTGAGGCACACTGGGAGCTTAGGTTTCCTAACCTATGGGAGGACCCTTCCACCTCCATGCAGCCAGGGCTTCAGGCAAACGCTGGCCCCAGTACTCAAGGTTGCAACCCAGCCCTGGAGCGCCCATGCAAGCACCACTGTGTCCAGCCATCATTCGCAACGACACACACCCTGGACCTCAGGGTAAAGGGCTGGCTGTGCGACAAAGAGGGGAGCATGGGTACGACTCCCAGACAGCAGCAGCATCACACAGGTCTGCCTGGGATCACAGCAACTTCACACGTGTTCCGGGGCTTGGGCAACAGCGCCAGGAGAGGAGTGCCAACAGCACTGAGGGCCAGCTCCCCCTGTGGCAGTTGCATCACATGACTCACCCTCGACGGCCTCTGCCCAGTGAAACGGCTGGGCATCCTCACTGGTGTTCGGGCTGGAGATGATGCCCGCGCTGGCTGCCCACTGGTACACGGCCCAGGGGGAGGACAGGTCTCCTGGGCGGTCATACATGTAGCATATTCCAGGCAGTTCGTGGGGGGCCGAGCCCAGCCTGAGCAGAGAGGCCAGAAGGAAGACAGCTGAGCGCTGCTGAATTCAGCGCTATCACTGAGGGCCCAGGGAGCACAGGAACCACCACCGCCAGCACTCAGCCTCCCTCTTGGGCACAAGGGCCTGGCCTCCCAAGGAAAAGCAGCGTGGCAGTGGCAAACCATGCCATTCGGGGCCTGAGACAGCCATCATGGGACACCACTGCTCCTACAGGTGCAAGCTGGCAGAAGGAGCCTGAGACCTCTGCTGGCTGTGGTCCAGCTGGGTGGGGGGTGTTTGTGCTGCGTGGTCCAGGCCAAGAGGTGGGCTCCGAAGCACAGCATCCCACGTCACCCCCAAGCCCCAAGTCCCTGGCTCCCTCACGCTTGGGCACACACCTCATCGAGCCAAAAGCAAGCCCAAGGAGCCTGGGTAATGCCAACGGTCCCGCTTCTGCACACTCGGGACATGCCCAGGCGCCCAACACCGGCAACACCCAGGAACAGACATGCTAGGGATTCCTGCGGCCACCTTGCCCTCTGCTCTGTGCATGGGACACATGCCGGCCACACCAGCTACTCGCGTAATGACATCCTTCACCCACACTTCCCCGGGCACTAACATACACACTGCTACGGGCTTCACCGCCTACTTGCACACAACACATGCATGGAGATGTGACAGCAAGGACGCCCCACAAGGGGTCCCGATCCCCGGTCCTGTGGGACACAGGCAAGACAGGGAAGGCCCCAGGGCTCTTCAAGACCATGGCTGACGGCCACGGACGGGGCTCTCGGGGAGGCAGCCCGCCAAGGGCTCTGGAGACCAGCGGTGCCCCATGACACCACAGGTGCCGTGCACGTCTACAATGGGGCCTTCCTGGCACACGGCCAGCCTTTCACAGCCCACTCCCACAGCCCTTCCCAGGCAGCACAGACACACCCCACGTTCAACACAGCCTTGGCCAGCCATGTCCCATGGCCACTGCCACGAACACACTCTTACCCCGGGTCCACCTCGGTCCAGCCTGTG